TACCTGACCCATCAGACGGCAGGCGGCCTTTGATCATGATGTCTGTTTTGCTTGGTAAGAGGGTGCCCTGAAATTCATATCCTTAAGCTTACGAACGGTTATATTGTTGTTGGAGAAAATCGCTCTGGTCTGTATAAACAATGCTTCTTCAGCGAAAGCAACAAATGAGAGTTTGTGGGTCAACTCAGAAAACCTTTTTGTCGGAGCCTTACAGGATAAAATCTGCAATTACCATTTCAAGTTCCCTGCTCATGTTACCCCGCTTAGTGTAAGAAGGGTGTGGTGCTGTCTTAACTGTCGATGCTTCGAGCACTGAGTGGTAAAACAGTGGAACAAGTTGCCAGAGACGATAGTTGAGGTGAATTGGGGCTCAGAATTTAAGAAATTCTTCGATACGCACTTTTCGGACTACAGGTATAGGGAGCCAATCGCAACCGGATAAGATGTAGTGCAGCCGCAATATGCTGCCACGGCGCAAGAATCAGAATTATGATTCCGCGCATGTGCCCCATCCACCTACGATGGAGAAGCACAGATTTCTATCCTCTCGCTCTCTGTTCTCAGTATGCAGCATTCAGTATGCTCCGGGAAAATAGCGTCTTTGGAATCGACAAGGTCTGCCCAAAGATACTTAAAACCCTGCTTCTAACATAACGGTACCAATTGCAGTCTTTTTCCAGGGTGTGCTTGACTCTCATCTGTCCGATGTACAAGGAAGTTAAATGATTGAATCAGACCAACTACTGAACTAGTACTCTCCTTCCTGTTTTATCAAGTGTGAAGGCATCGGTAGTGGCAGATGAACCGACGTGACAACTCGAAAGTCGGAAAATAATTGCCAATGTCCTACATGGTGGGATTTGGATGGTTGGTATGGCCATACAGCGGGAAACTGGAGTTAACCTCTTGTAGATACGCCTCGAAATGTTTTCCAGGGGCGGCTTTGCATTCCAAAGTGTGGATGTTGAAATCATCAATAATAAAAATAAGGTTTTCAGCAATGGTTGCAAGCGATAATTCGGGGTAAGTCAGTGAATGTTATCTACATTAAATTCCGTACATGTTTCCTTAACGTGAACCATGAGGTCCTGCTTCACAAGCTGTGAATGTGTGGTGTTTGTCGTGCACAGCATGAGTGAATCAGTGACGTCCTTATTGGGAGAAGATGGCGGGTAAACGTGGATGACCACCCAAAGGAGTGGTACTCGTCCACCAGCGACGTACCCCAAGGCACAATACTGGCACCCATTTTATTCTTGATCCACATCAAGGAAGTACCTCAGCTTCTTCGGTCGTCCTGCGTAATAGTTGCGGATGACCTGAAGATGTGGAAGCTTATTGATCCTCCCGGCTACTGTAAGGTCCTTCAGCAGGACCTCGACCGACGATTCCGGTGGTTTGCAGTAGTTGACATACCAGTCAACAAGGCCAAGTCCTCGTTTATGAGCCTGGGGAAGGGTAGTAATTGGTGTGCGTACACGCTGGTTGGCTACCGTCTGCATCCCACCAGTTCCGTAAAGCATCTAGGTTTACTCACACGAAATGATCTGTAGTCTGTCGAAAACACGAACAGGATGTACGCAAACGGACTACGCCTGCTTTGGATACTTAGACGCCGCTTCTGCACTTGATCTGAAGTGATTGCCCCCTTCTGTTTTCTTCCATAATAAAGCCGGTGCTTGACTACGGATCATCCGCCTATTGTCCGATCACAATAGGTGAGGTGCAGAGACTGGAATGGGTCCAATGTGCAGCTACCCTGCTCAGACCCAGTTTACGGGGTATGCCGTACGAAGACCGATTTAGGAGACTAGGGCTGGATACCCTGTCATATCATCGGCTTCGAGTTGATCTCATTATGACGCACCGAATATTGCACCTGTGCCACTTCCCTATGTTGAAGCCGCTGCTGCACGTTCGAGCACCAAGCAACACACGTGGACACCGGTACAAACTAGTGGTACCGGATAAAAAGCATTTGGCTCACCTTCTAAGTTTCCAGCGTGGAGTGGTGAAATAGTGTAACAAATTGCTGGAGACCATAGCCGAAGCGAAGTCGCTGTCGAAATTTTAGAGATCGCTTGACGCCCACCTTGCCGACTATAGGTATTGGGAGCGTATCGTACCCGGATGAGATGTAGTACAGTTGCAATATGCTGCCACCACGTAGGAATCAGCCACGTGATTCCGCGCATGTGCCGCATCGACGTACGATGGAGCAACACAGATTCTCATCTTCTCGCTCTCTAGTCTCGTTATTTAGTATTCATTATTCACCTGGCTACGCACAGAGAGGCCCCGAATGTCTGGATAGCTCTGCTTTAATTGTCCAGAATTGATCAATCAGCTAGTATCGGATCGCGCAACACTTGAGTATCCCGTTTGCAAGGGTTTTTCATTGCCGTTGGTTTTCTCCACCGTATTTTTTCACTGTATTAGACTAGGTCCTTTAAGTTAATAGACCCCACAGCTAACGTCAATCCAGAGCTCTTTACGGGGCTGCTGCATTGTTTATGTTTTAACCCACGCAAATGTTTGGTACGAACACATACGTAATTGTTATGAATACCAAACGCTGGATAGTTAGTGTATTTCAACACCATTTTGAATCAACGTGCTAATTATCATCAGGTTGTAATCCTACTACTTAGATGTACCAAGGAGTTAAATGTAGCCAACTAACCTCGAATGATCCAACCTTCACAATGGAGGCGGGCATATCGTGAAGCCGCAAACGGGGCAATGTTTTTATCTAAATTATCTTTCTGTTACAGTGTTTGTTTCCTACGTGCATCTATATATGATTGATCATTGAGAGTGGTAGCACTGACGAGATTCACCCGATTGGCTTTCGGTCACAACTCATTATTTTTTGTTGCATTAGTGCCAAAAGCTTTGTGCGTCACAGCCACTACATGTGAAAATAACGGCCATATACCTGCAGCACATACTCCAGCAGCTCTCTTCTTCTCTTTGCTTGCAGTGATACCATGAGTCCGTTTAGTCGTTTGGTACTGCGCTTACCGAGTACATATGATCCAACAAAGTTCCCCGTCTTAGCGCGCATGTGCCTTTAAGGGATAGTGACTGCCTTGGGTCACAATTTTTCTGACAATGCAGCTAACCTAACGTACTGGACTTTGAGAGCTGCTGTAATCCGGTACTAATAGAATGGGCACATTTCGAGAATCCATCTATTTGACCAAGTTGGGCTACAAGCCTGAAGTTAGACAGCCGTACCGCGTTAGCCCATGATGTCGAAAGAGTATGCTGCTTTGGCTATGACGGAGTGTTCAATGCAGTGATCGATAGCGGTTGATTGTGGATCAATGTGGTTGGCTTAGTTAGGATTTGTCTAAACTTAAAAAGAGCAAATTGGTACTCCATTCGGTTTCTGATTTTCTCAATCCGATGTGACAGGGAAATCCCGACAAACTGGCTGCTTCTGTCCTCATGTATTTCTAATGTTATCATATTCAGGTGGGCACATGCAAATGCGATAGAAGAAGTCGTTGGAGGGGTTAAAGATTGTTTGTGTCTAGCATAACCTGTTTAATTCATTCACTTGCATCCAAATGTAATTGCGGGGTAGCTATCAGGAAACATCATGTGTCAACGAACGGAGAGAATTTTGGTATATTTTATACAACGCCACTACAGTCGCAAGGATGAAAGCTGCACTCTTGTGCGGGGGCTGCCACAGAAAATCTCTGGGTATTACTGATGGCGGTTTCGAACTAGTAACGGTAGTAGTAGGTGAATTTAGCTGGTATAGTTTAAGTTCATCACCACTAAGGTTATTCAACTAGTCATCAGACATCCAGAAAAGCTCTGCACAGCTGGTTTAGTACTTTGGAAAGCGTCAACAGCATCTTTTCTGTCTGTTTCTTATCAAGCATGAATCCGCTAACCTGCTGCTACTACAGATCAGTGGTTGAGACCACTAGAGCAAAGGGGACTGCAATGACCGACATGTCTAAGCTACCTATTACGTTGCATTGTGATTCTTTCTCCGTGGAACTGTGCATCACTGCCGCGCGGATGACGGTGCAGTAGACTGTTAGCTCACTTCCTGGGTCGTGTGATGCCCGAATCCTTTGTTCATATCCGTACTGGCGGGACAATACGGATGTTCCAGTCCCCGTTCATTGTGTTAAAACGAGCAAGGGTAGATAAACACGCACCCGGTTAGGGTAAACTTCAAACTGTCAAATTTTAAAATGGGGAATAGCAAGCCAAACTTCATCCTGTTTTATTGGCGATGGGTAAGGTGTCATCTCTGCACGACAGCAGATGCAAGTTAGGACTTGTAAAACTAGTCTAAATCAGGTGGTGTGGATTGATTGAAGAGCAATAGCTCAACATATGAAGCCTTATCCTCAGTAACAGACACGCAGAAAAGGTTGATTAAACAAACCACCTCGAAATTTGTACACAGCTCAGAATATCTTCACTGTATTCAAGAGTTTCGCCAACACCTATTACTGCAAAATGTCTATGGCTGTGTAACTTAAGGCAATGCACGAAACATGTAGTAGAAACACTAAGCACAGCGAATTCCATACTATGCGCTTCAAATCTTAATAGCCCATTCTTTATCAGAGACTACCAGCTAATCCTCAAACCAGTGCAAAGGTGAATATATTGGCAAGAAAATGATTCCGGTTCCAATTTGAGAGACGCATCACGGGTCAACTTTATGGCAGCATGAACTATTCACTAAGATATAGCTTAAGCTGACCCCCCAGGATTGACATCAGGCATCGTTATAAGGACTCAAGAAACGCCGGAGCAAACTCACTTGTGGACTTTAAAAATTCTCACTCGCTAAAATCAAAAAGGATAACTATGGGGATCCTCTTTGGTCAATCAGGAATGCGTAGCTCAGGGGCACCTATTGTGGTCTAAAATAAGAGCAACTAAAAGGCAAATTTGTCAGTCTGACCTTGTCAACCTTTAACTGATGAAGAACTTACACATCGTTTTCTCGGTTTTACCAGTACGTTGAAAAGTTCCTCGGGCGTACAATCCTTCATCTGGCTGTAAATCAAACGACGGATGATCCCATTAACCCGGAATTCCTATACGCCCAAGTGGGCACAACCTACGTGGTCGCCAGCGCCATCGGTGCTTTCTGTTCTGGATGGGTGGCAGAAATCCTGGGAAGGTAAGTAAGATATGATCTGTATGAGCATATTTAACACAATTCTCAATTATAAAACCGAGTATCCTTCATAGCGACAGTTGATCGATGTCAGACCTTGTTTCACCTGCTTGTGTTACCTGAGCTATTAGATGCTATTTAATCCGAGACTGGAACCGGAGAAGGTTCTGCTGATTGCGTCTTCCCTACTTACTTTCAATCACGGTTATGATAATTAATTATGCTTCGATACCATTCAGACAAAGAGATCCATGTGCCAAACGAGCTTGTATGCCTGTACCACTCACTAAGAGGTGGGGAGATCGATAGGCTGCCTTCCTTTCCGCTTCTGGTAAAGAAAACACGTACTGTACATTGGTCAAGCCAGGTTGCCTACTAATTGGTATCACTGCGATAACGACAGCACCCCAAGAAGTTCCTTTCTGCTTCCAAATTAAAGTATGTCGTCGTCAATGTTATATGAGTAGTGGCGTTATTACTTATAACACTTCAGTGGTCTTGGGCAGTGAGTTGATAGTCAGTTTCTATGAGTTTTGTTCCCAAGGCAACAGGATGAAAGAGGCAGTGCACACGTATGAGCTTGCCGCTTAGTGTAGTTCCGAATGCCCATATGGCTCAGTATGGTTTTGATGCACTTAATTTAAAGCATCCAAACCTACCTGCTGCCTACTGGTACTCAACACTCAACCTATACTACTTAATATGAGATAGCATATTGTTGATTTGAGTTTGGGAAGTCGTTTCTGCCACTGGCTATCTTGCCCTGCGCATCATAACAACTAGTACATAAGTGGGAAATTCACTCAATATTTCGCCACGTCACTTAGGTGTGTCAGTAGTTACATTCCCCTATGGTAAAGTGACCTAAATCACGGACCCGCATGCATTTTGTCTCAATTTTCAAACTCACAGATAAATAAATAAATAAATAAATAAATAACAGTTTTGTTCGCGACAATGCGGAACACGTCTAAAACGGTATGATCACTGTAATACAGAGCGTATACTCAGTAGTTGTCATAAGTGTTGCTATGTAACAAGTACCTACGGGAAGTTTGTTTTATGTATATATACAAGTGTGTGGGTTAGTAATCATGTTGAGGGACGTTGTTACTGTTGTGCTGAATTTGTGGTTGTGTTCGGTGAATTTCGCCAATATAGGAAGGGATCAAGTGGTATCATCGAATTGGCCGCCGTCTCCGAGTGGAATAAAATCCTCCGGAAAAGCAGAAAACTGTGGCGTCATTTAGTAGCGAGTCATATCCAACACGTCACAGTGTAGTTAAACAGATGTTTGTGGCTTTTATAGCGAGAACGCTTGCCATGATAAAACCCACCACGTTCTGGAACACTGCCGGCGAACCATTGGCTGGAACAGGATTAACCCGGACCACCCAGCTGGTACCACATTTAGGTTGTTCGGCTAGCCAGCCTGCCGACGTTTTCCAAAAGAATTGGAAAACGCTACGGTGCATTTCCGGATATATTACGGCTGCAGGACTGAGCCTGGATGCGGTGAATGCAGCTTGTATGCGATATTTCGCTTGGAAGTAGTGAGTGAACGTGTTGCTACCGATCTTAACAAAACAACGCCGGAACTGGAATATGATGCTATTACAAACAGTTAATAACAGCAATATACAATACCTCAGCAACCTGTGCTTCCGGCTTTGGTGTATCAGAAAACGACAACAATCCAAGGTGGCCAGCAAGCTGAACTTCAACTTCACACAGAATAAGCTCATTTCAGTGTATTGTGGCTTTGACAGGCTTATATATGACCAATCGGCAAGGGAGGTTGCCGTGAAACGTGGGCGTTCGGCGAGTGCTTTACACTCACACGTGATGGTATTGCAGGTTTTGCGATTGCACATGAACTAACATTTACAATGGTCCTCATGGATGAGGCGGGTTTACGTATGTGGACTCTACTCGCATGTCCTCGCAACCTCGTCAGGTCACATGCAATGTGAGGAATCGCTTGCTAGCTAGTATCCGAGGACCAAAGCGAGTGTTAAAACGGAACATCACACACTGATAACATGAGGCGAAGCCACATGAAGCGACAATTAATTCTGTTCAGCAATTGGAAATATAGCTCAATGCATGTATGGTTGAACGCAGGTCATCTACGAGTTTAAAGTGCAACTAAACTTTCTTAACTTCGGCTCGGAACACAATCTTCATTGACAGCCAGATAATAAAGGTCGTTTGGGGCAGCGGAAGGAGTTAAGTAAATGGTTAGCGGAATTAATCATGAGGCAGAGAGCGGCAGGAGGACTGAGGAGGATAGGAGCTTCGAGAATCTTCCACACAATTGGTTCAATCCAACGTCTTTTACTACTTCCAGGTATTCTGGTAATAACTGTATTAGGCCTTTATGTGATGTGATGTATTGCGTACCTTGTTGACTCATTAGCTTTAATAGATGGCGCCCTAGGGCCCCTTGGGAGCTAATCCTAGCTCATCGTTCAATCGTCCTGCTCCTCCAAGTTGGGGTTAAAAATGGAGTAATGTACTTTACTGTAAAACTAAATCAATGCCACCTTCCCACTGACGTGTAAACAGGCTTTTGAGCCAAAAGGTTTGGTTGAGGACCCTAGCCGTCCTCCTGTCGAAGTCTGGACGCCCTGGCAGTACCTCTGCCCACATAAAACCCTGACCACCTCTACAAAATTCAGCCACATATTATATTAACCTTCGCGCAGCTTATCAACGATCTCCTTATCTGCTGCATACAGTAGGACGGATAAGCGAACACATGCTACTGCTTTCGCCTCCCTCTTTCCTTTCCACCTGTTTCACTTACTTCCCTCCCAACCGCCATCACTAATCTTCCTTCTCTACCTCCCAGCTTAACTGTGGGCAGCCGGTACGCCACTACAGTTCTGCCACCTGTAGCTATCATTTCGCTCCACCCACTGGACGCCCATCGGCAACCGTCCCTTGTAAGGCCACGCTATATCGTTTCCATGGCGCCGTCCAACTTTTGCACTCCAAGACAAATAGGTCAGCAGGCCGTACCTGCACGTCCATTGGACACACTGTGCATTGACGTTTATGGTGTATTCAAAACTAGGATCAATGACCCCAATGAAGCTGTTGAATTAACTGCGCCCGGTTTTTCTCTCGCTATTGTTTACACGTTATCCTAAGACGCTGATGCGAAAAATAAGGCTGATTAGAGTCCCGTGAACAACCATTTGTGTGAAACTCCTTTGACGACACCAGCTAAAGTTGATACTGGGAGTAGGACTATAACTTTTCTCAACCAATTGAATCCATATCGCTTTTAGCTTCGTCCTTAGAAAAATCATGTTCCTCCAGAGAGCTTTCAAGGTGGTCCACAAAGCTTACAAGTTGAAGCTAAAGGGTGCAAACGCTCCTAAAAGTTACGTGCTGTTTGTTGCGTGACCAACCTCAACTTAGCATATGTTATAACGGATGAGCACACAAAGTGGGATGATATTGTCCCGGTAGGCTTTGGTTACTTAAGGGACTGCAACCTATAGTGGCGTTCGTGTCCGCTGGATTCAACTTGAAAGCGATTTGACCCATCTTGCAAGACCTATGGAGAAACATGATTTCCATAAGGCAGAATTAGTAATGGATACGAATTCATTTGTCCGAGAAAAGGTTTAGTCGCTGTTTGTTTGCGGTTTCCGCTTATGCCCCACCGACTACAGTTCTGATGCTACCAAAGACGCCGTCTACTGAATACGCTACTGCGCAGTGTTATCAGCTCAGGCACTATAGTTCTTGTAGGGAACATGAATGCGCACGTGAGTCGTTTGAGAATCGCCGCTAGGTGCTCAGTAAGAAAACGAAACTCCCACTTTATAGATAATGACGAGCTTCTGTTACAGCAGTGTGCAGAGCATCGGCTGTCTATTGGTCGCAGCGCCTTTAGACACAGTAGACACCTCAATGCATCTATCTACAGCTGATCATCAATGTACCCAACTGGAGCACATTGCCATAAGTCACACGCGGCGGGATTCCATCCAAGATTGTCGCCTTGCTACGTTGTCGTATTGTATGGCCTTTACCGGGACGCTTTGAAAGTGGCTCCCATGATTGCAACTGAGAAGTTCTCTTAAGCATTGGTCACAGAAACCTAACAGGATGCCCTGAGCACCGGACTTTCGCTCTTTGGTCCTAATAACACTTAGTCTTATTGGATTATCCTTTCAGCCGCCATATACTATGCAGGAGCCTCCGCTAACTGCACCATCAATCGTCACCGGATAAGGCACTGGATATCCGAGAGGTCAGTGGACTTGTCAGAATCCAGGAGAAACCTTCCGGATAGCTCTGAGCACAATTTAACCAGACGAAATATTAGGAGCAAACTAAAGTGGAGGCTGTGTGCTGACAAGGAAGCATGGTGGACTATTAGTGCTCAAAAAATGGAGGAAGCAAGAGCAGTAGGCAATTATCGCAAGCTCCTTTCGCTGATCCGTACTACTGGTCACAGAAAAGTAGGCGTCAAGGAGACGGTCAGCGACAGCGCTGTATGGCTCTTTGGATGGAGCACTTTCAAGGTCAGTTCAAATTTTCCCTACTTTGGATCTGTTCCTAGTCAGGTTTTGCAGACTGGGCCATGGCCAGTTAGTAAAGAGGCTCCGTCGAAGGCTGAGGTCCGAAACGTGATTGCGGCTCTCTGTCGTTCACGTGAGGCGTGTCCGTCTTCTCTAGCACATGCCTTATTTAAGGATGGCAATGAAGTCATTTATAAAGCACTGACCTCCATGTTTGAACAGGTCTGGAAGTCAGAGGCCATTCCAGTTAATTGCAGTGAACCGAGTACAACGGAAGTATACAAGGAGGGTATTGGCACTGACTAAGCTAACCATAAGGCGTTTAGCCTAATGCCAGTTGTGACAAAAGTACTGGGTTCTATCCTTCTTTGCCGCCTCAGTGCGGAACGGGAATCTTGGATTAAGAAAGAGCAGGCAAGCTTCCGCCCAGGACGCTGCTGTATAGACCACGTTTTTGCTTTG